TTCCAATGAATATCTCAGAGATTCTCAACCAATTCAACCTAGTTTGTGCCAGCAAATCGGCACTTTTTTTTCTTACATACTGAATTGATTCAATGGGGCTACCTCAAAATGCAAACAAAACTGTCAGGCATACCAACAAATATACAGACGTCCTGAGTTCTGGTGTGAATAGGGCTGAATATATACATTCTAATAAGCAAGTAAACAAGTGTTCAGAGTAACACAATCTCAGTGCCCTTCCTATTCAAGATGCTATATATATATATATATATATATATTCAAATAATAACAGTAAGAAAAATGTCAAACATTTGTTTATGTATATATAGAACGAGAGAAATATATATTTGTGTATGTACGTATATATAGAATTAATTATAGCATAACAGATATACAATATACATTATTTACATATTATATTTGTAAATATATGTGTATAAATATAGTTAACTATGACATAATATAAACACATACACACATATATAATATTAATATATATTATATATAATCTGAGGGGGAAATAGGTATTATTATTATTATTTGTGTATATACGTATATATAGAATTAATTATAGCATAATATATACTAACATAGATATACAATATACATTATTTACATATTATATTTGTAAATATATGTGTATAAATATAGTTAACTATGACATAATATAAACACATACACACATATATAATATTAATATATATTATATATAATCTGAGGGGGAAATAGGTATTATTATTATTATTTGTGTATATACATATATATAGAATTAATTATAGCATAATATATACTAACATAGATATACAATATACATTATTTACATATTATATTTGTAAATATATGTGTATAAATATAGTTAACTATGACATAATATAAACACATACACACATATATAATATTAATATATATTATATATAATCTGAGGGGGAAATAGGTATTATTATTATTATTTGTGTATATACATATATATAGAATTAATTATAGCATAATATATACTAACATAGATATACAATATACATTATTTACATATTATATTTGTAAATGTATGTGTATAAATATAGTTAACTATGACATAATATAAACACATACACACATATATAATATTAATATATATTATATATAATCTGAGGGGGAAATAGGTATTATTATTATTATTTGTGTATATACGTATATATAGAATTAATTATAGCATAATATATACTAACATAGATATACAATATACATTATTTACATATTATATTTGTAAATATATGTGTATAAATATAGTTAACTATGACATAATATAAACACATACACACATATATAATATTAATATATATTATATATAATCTGAGGGGGAAATAGGTATTATTATTATTATTATTATTATTATTTCTACCCTGCTTTTCCTCTCCAAAAGGAGACATTTATTATTGTTGTTATTGTTTATTTTCCAACCTATTATTATTATGCTTATTTTTACCCCGCTTTTCCTCTCCACAAGGACCCAGAGAACGGTTATTACTATTATGTTATTAACATCATTATTATGTTTATTTCCTCCTCATTTATTATTATCATTATTATTACGTTTACTTCCACCAAGCTTTTCCCCTCCACAAGGAGCAATTTGTTGTTGTTATGTTTATTTCCACACAATTATTATTATTATTATTATTATTATTATTATTATTATTATTTATTCCCACCCTGCTTAAGGAGACATTATTAGTATTAATTCCCACCCTATTATTATTATCATTATTATGTTTATCTCCACCCCATTTTTTATTATTAATATTATTATGTTTATTTCCACTCCATTTGTTATTATTAGCATTATTATTATTTATTTATTCCCTGCTTTTTCCCTCCACAAGGAGACATTTTTACTATTATTATTATTTCCACCCCATTTTTATTATTATCATAGAATCATAGAGTTGGAAGAGACCTCGTGTGCCATCTAGTCCAACCCCCTGCCAAGAAGCAGGACAATGCGTTCAAAGCATCCCCAGATGGCCATTATTATGTTTATTTCCTCCCCATTTATTATTATTATTATGTTTGTTTATTTCCACCCCATTATCATTATTATTATGTTTTATTTCTACCCCACTTTTTCCCTCCACAAGGATATTTATTATTTCCACCCCATTCATTATTACTATTGTTGTTTATTTCCACCCCATTTATTATCATTATTATGATTTATTTCCACCCCATTCATCATTATTATTGTTGTTTATTTCCACCCCATTTATTATCATTATCATTATTTCTAGAAATGCCTCTAGAACATGGCCCTATAGCCCGAAAAAACCCACAAGAACCTAGTGATTCCAGCCATGAAAGCCTTCAACAATACATTATCATTATTGTTTCCACCGCATTTATAACTATGTTATTATTGTTTATTTCCACCTCATTTATAATTATTATATTCTCACCTGGCTTTTCTTCTCCCCAAGTAGACATTGATTATTACTATATTATTATTATTATTACTATTATCATCATTATCATTATTATTTATTTCCAACCCATTATTATTATTTCCACTCCATTTATAATTATGTTATTATTGTTTATTTCCACCTTATTTATAATTATTATATTCTCCCCCAAGTAGACATTTATTATTACTATATTATTATTATTATTATTACTATTATCATCGTTATCATTATTATTTATTTCCACCACATTTACTTTTATTATTATTTATTATTATTACTATTATCATCATTATCATTATTATTTCCACTCCATTTATAATTATGTTATTATTTTTTATTTCCACCTCATTTATAATTATTCTCCCCAAGTAGACATTTATTATTACTATATTATTATTATCATCATTATCATTAGTATTTATTTCCACCCCATTTATTTTTATTATTATTATTACTAATATCATCATTATCATTATTTATTTCCACCACATTTATTATCATCCTCATTATTATAATTTCCACCCCATTTATAATTATGTTATTATTGTTTATTTCCACCTCATTTATAATTATTATATTCTCCCCCAAGTAGACATTTATTATTACTATATTATTATTACTATTATTATCATCACCATCATCATTATTATTACCATTCCATTTATAATTATGTTATTATTGTTTATTTCCACCTCATTTATAATTATTATATTCTCACCCCAAGTAGACATTGATTATTACTATATCATTATTATTATTACTGTTATTATTATCCTTATTATTGTTATTATTTCTTCTCTGTGTTATTCCTCCCACCCAGCTTTCCTTCTCCCCAAGTAGACATAGATTATTGCTATATTATTATTACTATTATTATTATTATTATTATTATCCTTATTATTATTAGTAGTATTTCTTCTCTGTGTTATCCCTCCCACCCGGCTCCCCTTCTCCCCAAGGAGAGATTTGCAATTATTATTATTATTATTATTATTATTATTATTATTATTACTATTACTATTATCATCATTATCATTATTATGTATTTCCACCCCATTTATTTTTATTATTATCTATTATTATTATTATTACTATTATCATCATTATCATTATTATGTATTTCCACCCCATTTATTTTTATTTTTATTATTATTATTATTACTATTATCATCATTATCATTATTATGTATTTCCACCCCATTTATTTTTATTTTTATTATTATTATTATTACTATTATCATCATTATCATTATTATGTATTTCCACCCCATTTATTTTTATTTTTATTATTATTATTATTACTATTATCATCATTATCATTATTATGTATTTCCACCCCATTTATTTTTATTTTTATTATTATTATTATTACTATTATCATCATTATCATTATTATGTATTTCCACCCCATTTATTTTTATTATTATCTATTATTATTATTATTACTATTATCATCATTATCATTATTATGTATTTCCACCCCATTTATTTTTATTTTTATTATTATTATTACTATTATCATCATTATCATTATTATGTATTTCCACCCCATTTATTTTTATTTTTATTATTATTATTACTATTATCATCATTATCATTATTATGTATTTCCACCCCATTTATTTTTATTTTTATTATTATTACTATTACTATTATCATCATTATCATTATTATGTATTTCCACCCCATTTATTTTTATTTTTATTATTATTATTATTACTATTATCATCATTATCATTATTATGTATTTCCACCCCATTTATTTTTATTTTTATTATTATTATTACTATTATCATCATTATCATTATTATGTATTTCCACCCCATTTATTTTTATTTTTATCTATTATTATTATTATTATTACTATTATCATCATTATCATTATTATGTATTTCCACCCCATTTATTTTTATTTTTATTATTATTATTATTATTATTACTATTATCATCATTATCATTATTATGTATTTCCACCCCATTTATTTTTATTTTTATCTATTATTATTATTATTACTATTATCATCATTATCATTATTATGTATTTCCACCCCATTTATTTTTATTTTTATTATTATTATTATTATTATTATTACTATTATCATCATTATCATTATTATGTATTTCCACCCCATTTATTTATATTTTTATTATTATCTATTATTATTATTATTACTATTATCATCATTATCATTATTATGTATTTCCACCCCATTTATTTTTATTTTTATTATTATTATTACTATTATCATCATATATAATTATTATATTCTCACCCCAAGTAGACATTTATCATTACTATATTATTATTACTATTATCCTTATTGTTACTATTTCTTCTCTGTGTTATCCCTCCCACCCGGCTTCCCTTCTCCCCAAGGAGAGATTTGCAATGATTATGTCTTTATTCAGATGAGGATGACGAGGATGCTGCTGTGAGGAGTGCCAAGGCGCGGCCTAGCTTCCCCCCTGAGGCCTGCCTGGCGTGATTTCCCTGCCCGGGGCGTGTGTCCCCCTCAGCGGATGGATGCAAACCTACTTCCCTCCCTCCCGGCCTTGCCTCACCGATGGTGGAGATGAAGGTGGTGTTGAAGGCGTCCTCGCTGAAGCGGAAGAGGAGGCAGGTTTTGCCCACGCCCGAGTCCCCGATCAGCAGCAGCTTGAACAGGTAGTCGTACGTCTTCGCCATCTTCCTCCCCAATGAGCAGGCCCAGACCGGAAGGCAGGCCCAAGACCAGCAGGAGGAGGAGTGGCCAATCAGAGGAGGAGCAGGAGCGGACAATCCCCGCCCCCCCGCTTCCGCCCGCGCGCAACGCCTCCTGGGAATTGTAGTCTTGTGCCTCCCTAAGGCTCTGCCCCTCATCTAGAGACCGGAAGTGTGCCCTGAATTGGGAACCTATTCTTATTATTGTTCTTGCCCCAACTTGATTCTCCATCTTCACAGCTATGATTCCTCACCTTGTGGATGGGAAGCTTCCCACCATCTCTCAGACAGAAGGCAAGCAAGGTTAGGACATCTGTTATAGAACTCCAGTATGCTGATGACAACGTCATCTGTGCGCATTCAGAAGACTTACAACCTTGTTATAGAACTCCAATATGCTGATTACAACGTCGTCTGTGCGCATTCAGAAGACTTACAACCTTGTTATAGGACTCTAGTATGCTGATGACAACATCATCTGTGCGCATTGCGAAGACTTACAACCTTGTTATAGAACTCCAGTATACTGATGACAACGTCATCTGTGCGCATTCAGAAGACTTACAACCTTGTTATAGGACTCTAGTATGCTGATGACAACATCATCTGTGCGCATTGCGAAGAAGACTTACAACCTTGTTGCAAGTCGTCTCTGGTTGCTTCTGGATCGAGAGAATCGGCCATCTACAACGACGTTGCCCAGGGGACGCCCGGATGTCTTGCAATCCTGCGAGGAGGCTTCTCTCATGTCCCCCTACAACCTTGTTATAGGACTCCAGTATGCTGGTGATAAAGTCATCTGTGCGCATTCAGAAGACTTACAACCTTGTTATAGGACTCCAGTATGCTGATGACATTCAGAAGACTTACAACCTTGTTATAGAACTCCAGTATGCTGATGACAACGTCGTCTGTGCGCATTCAGAAGACTTACAACCTTGTTATAGGACTCCAGTATGCTGATGACATTCAGAAGACTTACAACCTTGTTATAGAACTCCAGTATGCTGATGACAATGTCGTCTGTGCACATTCAGAAGACTTACAACCTTGTTATAGAACTCCAGTATGCTAATGACGTCATCTGTGCGCATTCAGAAGACTTACAACCTTGTTATAGAACTACAGTATGCTGATAACAACGTCATCTGTGCGCATTCAGAAGAAGACTTACAACCTTGTTATAGGACTCTAGTATGCTGATGACGTCGTCTGTGCGCATTCAGAAGACTTACAATCTTGTTATAGAACTCCAGTATGCTGATGACAACGTCGTCTGTGCGCATTCAGAAGACTTACAACCTTGTTATAGAACTCCAGTATGCTGATGACAACGTCGTCTGTGCGCATTCAGAAGACTTACAACCTTGTTATAGAACTCCAGTATGCTGATGACAACGTCGTCTGTGCGCATTCAGAAGACTTACAACCTTGTTATAGGACTCTAGTATGCTGATGACAACATCATCTGTGCGCATTGCGAAGACTTACAACCTTGTTATAGAACTCCAGTATACTGATGACAACGTCATCTGTGCGCATTCAGAAGACTTACAACCTTGTTATAGGACTCTAGTATGCTGATGACAACATCATCTGTGCGCATTGCGAAGAAGACTTACAACCTTGTTATAGAACTCCAGTATGCTGATGACAACATCATCTGTGCGCATTCAGAAGACTTAAAACCTTGTTATAGAACTCTAGTATGCTGATGACAACATCATCTGTGCGCATTGCGAAGAAGACTTACAACCTTGTTATAGAACTCCAGTATGCTGATGACAACATCATCTGTGCGCATTCAGAAGACTTACAACCTTGTTATAGAACTCCAGTATGCTGATGACAACATCGTCTGTGCGCATTCTGAAGACTTACAACCTTGTTATAGAACTACAGTATGCGGATGACAACGTCGTCTGTGCGCATTCAGAAGACTTACAACCTTGTTACACAACTCCAGTATGCTGATGACATTCAGAAGACTTACAACCTTGTTATAGGACTCCAGTATGCTGATGACAACATCGTCTGTGCGCATTCTGAAGACTTACAACCTTGTTATAGAACTACAGTATGCGGATGACAATGTCGTCTGTGCGCATTCAGAAGACTTACAACCTTGTTACACAACTCCAGTATGCTGATGACATTCAGAAGACTTACAACCTTGTTATAGAACTCCAGTATGCTGATGACAACGTCGTCTGTGCGCATTCAGAAGACTTACAACCTTGTTATAGAACTCCAGTATGCTGATGACATCATCTGTGCGCATTCAGAAGAAGACTTACAACCTTGCTATAGGACTCCGTATGCTGATGACATTCAGAAGACTTACAACCTTGTTATAGGACTCCAGTATGCTGATGACAACGTCGTCTGTGCGCATTCAGAAGACTTACAATCTTGTTATAGAACTCCAGTATGCTGATGACATTATATTAATTTATATTACTATATTATTTTCTATTTGATATCATACCTCATATATTATTTTATATTACTATTATTATTTTCTATTCAATATTATACATTATATCATTATATATTATTATATTATCTATTACACATTGCATGATATATCGTTATTATTTTCTATTCAATAGTATACATTACCTTATATATTTTTATATTACTTTCTATTTGATATACCTTATATATTATTTTATATTACTATTATTATTTTCTATTCAATATTATACATCATTATATATTACTATATATTATATTATTTTCTATTATACATTGTACGTTATATTGTTATTATATTATTTTCTATTCGATATTATACATATTGTTATATATTATTATGTTATTTTTAGATACCATACCTTATGTATTATTTTATATTACTATTATTTATTATTTTCTATTCATTATATTATATTATATTCAATATTATATATCATTATATATTCTTATATTATCTATTACACATTGTACGTTATATTGTTATTATATTATTATGTTCTATTTGATATTATACATATTATTATATATTATTATGTTATTTTCTATTAGATACCATACCTTATAATTTTATATTACTATTATTTATTATTTTCTATTCAATATTATATATATTATATATATATATATATATTGTCGTGTCAGGAGTGTCCTGTTGTGAGAGCATTGGCCGTCTGCAAGGATGTTGCCCAGGGGACGCCCAGATGTTTTGATGTTTTTATCATCCTTGTGGGAGGCTTCTCTCATGTCCCCTTCGCATGAGGAGCTGGAGCTGATAGAGGGAGCTCATCCACCTCTCGCCAGATTCGAACCTGCGACCTGTCAGTCTTCAGTCCTGCCGGCACAGGGGTTCAACCCACTGCGCCGCCGGGGGCTCCATATTATATATTATATTATATACTAGCTTGGGTACCCGGCAGTGCCCGGGTTATTTGAAAAAGGCTCAGTGCTCTCTGCATAAGGGTGAACTACAATTCCCAGATTCCTATTGCAATCACCCCCAAGCCAGTGTTTACAGTTGGCCATGTTGGGTCTGTGTGCCAAGTGTGGTCCAGATCTGTCATCGACTGGGCTCAGTGCTCTCTGCATAAGGGTGAACTACAATTCCCAGATTCCTATTGCAATCACCCCCAAGCCAGTGTTTACAGTTGGCCATGTTGGGTCTGTGTGCCAAGTGTGGTCCAGATCTGTCATCGACTGGGCTCAGTGCTCTCTGCATAAGGGTGAACTACAATTCCCAGATTCCTATTGCAATCACCCCCAAGCCAGTGTTTACAGTTGGCCATGTTGGGTCTGTGTGCCAAGTGTGGTCCAGATCTGTCATCGACTGGGCTCAGTGCTCTCTGCATAAGGGTGAACTACAATTCCCAGATTCCTATTGCAATCACCCCCAAGCCAGTGTTTACAGCTGGCCATGTTGGGTCTGTGTGCCAAGTGTGGTCCAGATCTGTCATCGACTGGGCTCAGTGCTCTCTGCATAAGGGTGAACTACAATTCCCAGATTCCTATTGCAATCACCCCCAAGCCAGTGTTTACAGTTGGCCATGTTGGGTCTGTGTGCCAAGTGTGGTCCAGATCTGTCATCGACTGGGCTCAGTGCTCTCTGCATAAGGGTGAACTACAATTCCCAGATTCCTATTGCAATCACCCCCAAGCCAGTGTTTACAGTTGGCCATGTTGGGTCTGTGTGCCAAGTGTGGTCCAGATCTGTCATCGACTGGGCTCAGTGCTCACTGCATAAGGGTGAACTACAATTCCCAGATTCCTATTGCAATCACCCCCAAGCCAGTGTTTACAGTTGGCCATGTTGGGTCTGTGTGCCAAGTGTGGTCCAGATCTGTCATCGACTGGGCTCAGTGCTCTCTGCATAAGGGTGAACTACAATTCCCAGATTCCTATTGCAATCACCCCCAAGCCAGTGTTTACAGTTGGCCATGTTGGGTCTGTGTGCCAAGTGTGGTCCAGATCTGTCATCGACTGGGCTCAGTGCTCACTGCATAAGGGTGAACTACAATTCCCAGATTCCTATTGCAATCACCCCCAAGCCAGTGTTTACAGTTGGCCATGTTGGGTCTGTGTGCCAAGTGTGGTCCAGATCTGTCATCGACTGGGCTCAGTGCTCTCTGCATAAGGGTGAACTACAATTCCCAGATTCCTATTGCAATCACCCCCAAGCCAGTGTTTACAGTTGGCCATGTTGGGTCTGTGTGCCAAGTGTGGTCCAGATCTGTCATCGACTGGGCTCAGTGCTCTCTGCATAAGGGTGAACTACAATTCCCAGATTCCTATTGCAATCACCCCCAAGCCCTGTCAGTATGCACAGTTCCCCATGGTGGGTCTGTGTGCCAAGTTTGGTCCAGATTCATCATTGGCTGGTTCAGTGCTCTCTGGATAAGGGTGAACTACAACTCCCAGATTCCCAGTGCAATCACCCCCTGAATTAAAGCATTCTATGGATGGTGGACAGTATTTCGTTGAAGGCTTTCATGGCCGGAATTATACAATGACAAGATAGACAACAAATAGAGGTATTGTATGCATAAGGATCATGGTTC